GCCAGGTTATTAGAACAAAATGTTCATGCATTGAGGGAGTACTTGAGTAGAGACCCAATGTCCATCTGCTACCTTGATACTTAACCTATAACTATATGTACATAGATCTATTTCCAGACAAGCTGTAATCTGGATGGATTCTGACAGCCACATATTTCTCCCACCGAGAGACTGGTTGGGTTTACATCCCTTTCATCCTCCTGAAATCATCTGTTTTCTTTCCAGAAAGAAAAATCGGTTGGATGAACACCTTACCAAAGAATTAGTTACTCTGCTTGATGTTACAATTCTCTACAAGCAACTTTAAACAAGCTCTGAGGGGGTTAAAAGCAAAGTAAGGGCCTGGTTCGAAAGAAGCAAGTCAGCAAGGAAGCCACCTTCTTGAAATGTGTTGCGAGTACGTACCAGCCTTTGAAACAGTCTCAGTTGCCTGGGGACCCTGTGTCTGACCTGCAAAAAGCAAAAAGGGAACAGTCATGAAGGATGCTCAGGAAGTCATGCATAAAGGAGCAAGGTGAGGGGTTTCGAACCGATTCATGCTCACGACAAAAGGACTCTCCACCTTGAAGAGGAGTTTGGCCTTTGGAAAAGGAGCTTCCAGGCCAGATTGACCCTGGTCACATCTGGTTACTGCCTAACCCAGGCAGGCTCCCTCGCTGGTCCCCCGTGTGTTCTCAAAACTGCTAGAGGAGTGTGGAGGAAAGTAAAAGAACAAAAATACCATTTGTACTTTTATCATTTGCTCCATGTACACGGGGCTTGGAAATACGCTCTTTTTCATTTTCATGGGCTTGGTGACTGAACCCAACCCCCCAGGAAACTCTTGAGGCAAACTAAAGTTGCTTTGAATTTCATGGTGTTTTTCTAGACGACTTGTTAGACTTCCTCGCAGGGCAGGAGCACAGGGAGGTAGCCACGCAATTTCTTTTTTCATTTACAGTGATAACTGATCAGCTTCCCTGGGCTGATATAGAAACCACAGCTGGTTATTGAACATTCCCCAACCAACCAAACCCATCGCCCATTCAGTCAATTCCAATCCGCCTTGATGCCACCTGTAGAAATGCCCCAGAGGGTTTTCTGGCTGTGATCTTGACCGGGGGAGCCATTGTGGTAAGTGGGTTATGTGGTGGGCTGCTAATCACAGGGTCTACCCACCAGCGGTTCCAAGGGAGAAAGATGCGGCTGTCTGCTCCCATAAAGAGTTACCCTCTCAAACACACACGGGCAGTTTTACTCAATCCGGTATTGTCGCTGTGAGTCGGAATCGACTCCGGGGCAGTGAGATTGCTCTTGGTTTAGTAATCTTTATGGGAGCAAATCACCAAGTCTTTCAAGTCAGGTGAGCACTTCACCACGGTGCCACAAGTTCCCGGCAAATCCTGCTGAAATAACAGGCGTGTATGCTGCTCGTGCTGTGAGCGATCATCCTCTTGAGAAGCCAATTTGCAATGTATACCAGGCAGTAGAAGAAGCTCTCTAGACTTTGTGCTTATCCTTTTTAACAGTTTTATGAGGTTTAATTGATATAAAATAAAATCCGCCCCCTGAAAGTGCACACAATTTAATAGTGTGTGTGTCCTCGTACAATCACCGAGCTGCACATCCATCACCACAATCAATTTGTGAACAATTTAATTACCCTAAAAGGAACCCTGTCTACCTTAGAATCATCTCCCACTATCCCCTCTCTCCCAGCCTTAGACAAACGTTTACTAATCTACATTCCATCTCTAGAGATTCATCCACTCTGGACATTTCCTGCAAAGAGATTCAAGCACTATGTGGCTTTTATGCCTGGCTTCTTTAATATAATGCTTTCAAGGCTCATCCATATGGTAGCATGTATCAGTAAGTACTTTGTTCCTTCCTGTGGCTGGATAATACTCTAGCGTCTGCATATGCCTCAGGTTTAGCCGTTCAGGTCTGAAGGGACATTCAGGGTTTCCCCACCCTCCGACTATTATAAATAATGCTAACCCTCACATGCTAACCCTCGCATGAACACTCACATGTAAATCTTAGTATTGGACATACATTTTTATTTCCCTAGGAGTTGAATTCCTTCGTTGTTTGATAAATTTAACTTATGAAGAAATTTCCAAAATGTATACCGAAATGGCATTTTATATTCCTACTAGTATTCATATCTTTTAATTAAGAAATTAAATTTAAAGACGGGAGAGGGGAGAGAACACTAGAATTGATTGTGATTTCACAACTCATTTTAAAGGCGATTTAACCACGGGGGGTGGTGGGAGGGGTGCTCTAAGATTGATGTGGTGGTGATGGTACAATGACCCTTGATATAATTGTAAGATAGAACTACTGAATTGTATGAAGTGCTAATTATGTGCCAATAGAACTGTTGGTGGAGAGGAGGACAAACAGGCAACATAAAAAAAGAAAAGAATTTAAACTTACAGAGAAGTAGTCTAAGGAAGGCAATTCTATAAAAGGGAAAGCAATGGGTGTACAAGAAAATTCTTTGCAACTTTTAAAGCTATTCTAACTATTCTGAATAGCTTAACATATCACTTAGAAGTGTCTGGATAGCTATATTGTGATACATCAATTTATTCAAATACAACTATTAGAAATGATGATACAGATCAGAGGCTCCCAAACATAGTTGGTCTACTGTACTTTTCAGAGAAACAAACCACTCCCCCCTCCTTGGCAATGAAAACCTTTTGTACTATATAGCCCACAATCCAGGATAAAGTGTAGGTTGCTGCTTTTACAGCCCCCCTGGATCACTCCAGTGCCTCCCAGGAAGTGGTCTCACCCACTTTAGGAAGCGCTGATATAAATCTATATTCACTGACCGATATTTTCTCAGGCTCCAATGCTACTCATCAAATATTTTTCCAGTGCTCTGCCAGAAAGATGGGACTTCCTGGTCCCCTCCTGGTCCCCTCATAGATAGGTATGGCCCAGTGATTGGTTCTGGCCAATGAGTTATGAGTGTAAGTAACACTTGTCCGTTTGTTTGTTTGTTTGTTTGTTTGTTTGTTTGTTTTTTAAAATCATTTTATTGGGGCTCATTTGTCCCTTTTAAGTCTCACGTTTTATTGCAGGGGTGAGGTTCTCCCGAAGGCCCTTTGCTCTCCGGCACAGTAATCAGCAAGGTTTGAGATGGTAGCTGCTCCTTCAGCCCAAATCCCCGAGTGACCATAAAGCTCATGGTTGCCTCACTTGGCACAAATTTCCTGGTCTTTTTCTCACCAATGCAGTTTTCAAATTTCTCTCTATTTGTGATCATCCTGTATCCTTTAAGAAAAGCTATTGCGATTATCCCTTTGGGGACCCCAGAAAGCAGTCACCTTAGCCTTCTGCGCCGACCTCTCTGCTTTGACTTGACCTGGCTCTAAAGATCCCCTTGGATGTTTGTTTAGGTTTGACCCTCATTCAAAGGTACCCTGACAAGACGAGGACACGTGTATTACTGAGAGAACTCATGTGCGGTCATCCACTGATTGCAGTCATGTTGAAACACATTTTGTTTAGCGTAAACCTATGCACAGATGAACTCAAGCCCTGGTTTCAATACTTCTTGACTTCTCCTCGTATGTGGAGCTGCCACAGATTGTGGAAGCACGCAACAAATATCCCGGACAAGGTCTTTGCCAATTTTGCTGGTTCCTTTCAGGTCATTCCCTCCCTAAAACTGTGGACTTGGCTGGGACCACTTACATAACTACCCTCATAGGGAAAGCCCAGCCCCTCTCAGGTATTACATACTCTGATTGATCTGAAGTATTCTCTTTGAAGCTTCCTTCTTTTTAAAGCAAGTTTTCATTTAGGAAAATAAATAAGCAAGGTTTAAGGGGAACAAGAGAGGCTGGGTTTCCATTCTTGAGATGACTATCTACTCTCAGCGGTCTCAAGGGATCAGTATGGCTACACTTCAGTCCCCAAGTTAAAACTCACCTTGAACCAGAATCAAAACATCCTGGCACACTCGGATTCCTGGTGCCATTCCCGGAAACGGAAATGACAGCAAGACTATAATTACTGTTTGGATAAGGAATTTCTGGTCCTTTTTCTTGTTTGAGTGGCTTCCCCATTACCTTATAAGAAACCAGGGGCATGGGTAGGCAGGCCAATGTATCCGACAATCGGCTCAAGGACAAGGACTGTCATTTTGGAATTTTCACTCACTTTGGGGCCTCCAATCCTATACCTAAGAGATGGCTCAAACAGCATCCTTTGCTCCTACCGAGCTCAGTTTCCATCCCCAGCCTGAGAACAGAAGATGTCCACGCCACAAGATTGATTGAGAAAATCAGGCCACAGTTCCTGCCATCCAGACCCCTATTATCTAGCTTAAAAGTTAGGTCCAGTGTGATAAGAAAAAAATAATAACAATTCATTTTGTTCTGGTTAATCATAAACCAGATCGTTAATCATTACTTTTGTAGGATATTTATTAGAATAGGACCAAAAAGGGGAGAAAGTTTTAAAGAATCAGATTCAATACAAAAATGATGCTGAATATAGTGGAGATCCAAAACCTACCTGTAAGATAACTGGGCAGTCTCTTTCAGAAGGGCCATACAGAAGAGATGATAAGTCTAGGGTGCGATATAGCACTGGTGAACCACATAACTATCCTCTAGTTCTTTAATATTTCCTCCCCGTACTATTACAGTTTTTATTTGTTCTGCCTCATTAATCATGTCAGATTTGCACTGGTTCATCTGTATATTTAAGATCACTCGATACATGAAAGCTAAGATAGATAACCCTTCAGAAACAGTAAAAGGAGTAACGGTTCCCTGAGGGTACAGGAAGAGAAAGGAAGAAGGGGGAAATAGGGAACTGATAGCACTGAAAACTGTAAAACCTCACTCTATGGGATTAAAGAACAGAAGTGTATGTGAATGGATATATTGGATGTGTAAGATATGGAAAAAAATTTTAAATAAGGGTTCCTGGGGGGTGTGATGGGGGAAGGGAATGGATCAAGGGGAGCAGATATCAAGTTCAAGAAGAAATAAAATACTTTGAAATTGATTGTGGTAGCAATTGTACAACACTGTTTGATGTGTTTGAACTATGGAATGTTATAATCTGTGAAAGCTCCCAATAAAATTATTTTTTTAAAGAAATACTTTTTTAAAACTCTCTGTGCATGAAAAAAAGAATGATGCTGAAAAAAAATAATCAGCTTTATAGATCTGCCACTGTTTCTTTAACTTATCGACTAAGCAGAATTTCCTAAGCAGAAAGGTAGATAACAATATCCTTTAAGCCAAGAATGTAACAGTAACACTAACACTACCCGGACTATGGCGTGTAGACTCTCTCCCACCTACGTGATCATCAATCACTCTAAGTATAAGCAAAAAAATAAAACTACATAAAGTGCTACTTAAATGTTTATAACTTGAATAACAGGGATTCTGGGTTTTTCCTCGGAATCTATCATAGCATGAAAGTTCCTG